GGGTGCTAGACTTACTGACAATGCGTGATAATGTCATCATAAATGACGATTCATTTAAGAACTAGTCTACTTCGCAGCCGTTTTTTGTCGCCAGGTAGAATAACGTGAATAAAAGGCGTGACATAACCAGAAGTGACGTATGGGATCGATACTTGCGAAACTACTTCCTGTTCCACACTTGTGAAAGCACGTTTCACTGAGAGGAGGCCTGTCATTTTTATTCTCTCTGAAGTTGAATTTGCAAGCAAAAAAGAAGCAGAATGTTCCCAATTTATTGGCTTGCGGTGAGTTTGTTAACATTCGGATCAAGTTTAGCCCAGAAGAAGATGTGCTCCAAAATATTCTTTCAGAATGTTAATGAGGACTTGATGCCGTGGATACAGGTCCAGGGAGTCTACGATCTCTTCTCAGAGAACAACAACTTTCCCGTCTATCTGAACAAACCGTCTGGTCTGTTCTTTTACTATGCTGATGGAAAAGAAGACAATGTAAAGGTTTTGTTGTTTGGTCATAAAATCGGTGAAATTTATGGCTTAGCTGCTCAACTGGCTCCTGACTTCGATCCGACGACTTGGCTCTCTTCTGGAACACTAAACAAGAATGATTTGTTCGGTGATATCGTGAAGGTATGGATGTACTACTCCCCACTTGATAAATCTTACAAAAAGATAGAACGAGGACCTTACATTAAAGCTATTTGCGTAGATGATGATTATTTTCAATGCGATTCGGGGAAACTTTACTTCAATGACACTATAACCGGAAGTGGAGGTGAAGTTCTGAATGATCCTCGAACAGACTATTTCGCAAAAGTACCTGGAGGATACAGGTCCGTGAGACCTGTTCTGCGGCATAGCCGTCAAAATTGGTATTTATATTACCGCAATGGCTATTGGATGGTTGGAAGCAGTTATTCAAGTCCAAACGGCGATTATTTTCGCGTTCGAGACTTGGCACTGAGACCGGAATACATCACACATGACTGGGAATATTTGAGTGGATCGGAATGGACTACGGTTAGTGGACTAAGGATCAAATGTCGTGGAATCGCCAATGGTGTGAACAAGTGCCATGGAGCCTCAAGATGTACGAACAGGGGTACTTGTGTTTACACTACAGGCAACGAGACTGTTTGTCTTTGTGAGGATAGCGCCTACGGGGCAGCTTGTGAAAGCCGCCAACTGTGCTCCGATCCTGGGGTTCCAGATTCGTCGGTCTCCGTCGCGTATACAGGAAAGCGTCCGGGAGATATCGCGACTTCGTTTTGCGTGACAGGGTACATATCCTCACCTACGGAGTTTTACATCTGCGAACAAGATAAAGGACGCAAAAGTTGGATGCTAGAATCTCAGCAAACATGTCGTCCGCCAAGCCCCGTGACTGTTAATCCGGAAACCAATGCGCCGAAAACAGTACCCCCGAGACCGTATGCCACGGAAATTACTATCTCCCCCGATGGTGAAGACACACCGGAGCGTTCGGAGGGGTTTATGATATTTGTCATTGCTTTCTTTGCTTGTCACATTCTTTGTCCTGTTTTTATATGGTTGGCTATAATTTTGACTACGTTTGCGCGCTGTTGTTCACGTACTCAAGTAGGAACCCCTGAGCGCTCGCAAGCTGTCGGAAAGATCATGGACACTCGTTATATGTTAATGGTGCGCACTTTTTCCGCCTTTTTCAACTTCGCTTTCTGGGTGTGGTTTTGCTCTGTCTGTGTTTGCCTGTCTACACATGAAGAAGGTAGTGCCTATTCCCCACTCTTCTACTGGGCAGTGGCAATGTGTGGTTTTTGTGCACTTTTTGTGGCAATTGAAGCGTTCTTTTCCGTGGAGAGAAAAGGCTTGAGTCGCATTATCACATGGGAATATATTCAGTCCCTTCACAGAACACCTCCTGTAGTCGAGATGCAGATTGAGTGGTACAATTGGCAGACATATCGTTACGCTGAGTACAGTACTAACCCTGTGACGGGCCGCAGAGAATATCAAGGAACAAGGGAGGAGACGGTGAAAGTAGGAAGAAAGCTCCACAGTGAACCTTTTTCGTACACATCCTGGACAGATCAATCTCAGCAAGAAATTCCGTGTGATGGACAAATTCTCAGAGTTAAGATTTCCCTAGATGTCTCAATGGATGCTGTAACCTCCCGTTTTTTCGAAGCACAGAAGTTTGCCCTTGTGGAAAAAACGCAACATTTGAATAAATTTTACGACTTTTCACGAAAAGATAGTTTACCCGACCTCCATACAGATGTCGTTTTATGTCCTAATAAGGATTCTGTGCCTCCCTGGATGAACGAGATATTCTTCTGGGGTGCTACACTGCTACAGTTATCTTGGCTTTACAGATGGTTGTTCATCTCGCGGACGCGTTCCGTGGAATATACCCTCAAGAAGAAGGTCTTCTGCGCTGATTCTCTGAGCTCCACCAGGCTGGCGGGTTTCCAACTCGCTAATCCGGGAAATTTTCCTGTCAAAACCGGTTTTATGTCCTCAGAGCAAGAGTCTGCTGCTGTAAACCAACCCTTAATCAAATGTGACCCCAACAGCTCGCAAAATTACATGTCAGTGTAAGTCCATTACATTTTAAAGTACGACTTACAGTTTGTTCCTTGTGACCAAGGGCTCTGTGATCATTGGTGATCCAGACTTGCTGGCCACAGGATAACCACCCTTTGTTGAACCAATTAACTGTTCTTCTCTTGATTAAGGCTTTAAAGGCTCGCAGGCTACCCAACAACAGATAAGCAAAGCCGCATGCAGACAAAGAAAGATCGAAAAAAAAATTTAAAAAAACTTATCTGAGCCTCAATCCTTTATCTCCCAAACAAGACAACATCATGGGATATTCAGAGGTAGAGCGATTTTCATATGACCTTGAAATGATTTCGCGCGAAC